ATATAATCGCCATCGTTGATTATACTTTTTCTCATTTAGCAAATAAATTAAAGACTGCTACCTAAAGAGGTTTCCTCCAAAGCAATAATTTGTACGTGAATTAATATTGAAGATTGTATTATAGATTGACATTAAAAGACCATTGTTATATATAACTATATAATAATTATATATACTTATACGATCAAACGAACTTACTTGTGAAGTTCGATCGTAATTATATGAAGAGCCTCTTTCTTCGAAGATCAAATGTAGTAGTACTCGTTCCTAGGGTATTTCACAACGTTTAAAGCTAGGGAAAAAAGAAAAAGGAAGTTGTTGTCCTTGATGCTTTTCCCTTCACGACGCTTTTGTTATATTTTTTAGAGTGGGTTTCCCGAAAGAGAAAAAACAGTCGCCGTACTCGTTCGAGAAGATTTTGGGTACATTTTCTGGGTGATTCCAAATATGGGTGGGAAATATCTTCTCGAACGAGGCTCTTCATATAATTACGATCGAACTTCACAGGTAAGTTCGTTTGATCGTATCATTATTTGAATAATATATGTATTATATATATATATATATATATATATATACACAAAATTGAAGGTGGATCACAAATGTACATACATTAAAATCAGGTATCAAGCAAATGTCACCTTATTCGAACAATATCCAGAACTAATAGAAAATATGTATCGTTTTTATTGCGTCCCTGATCGAGCATATTATGCGATAAAGGATGGCTAAGCTCTGATCGCAAAAAGCTTATTGAAATATGGATCTATTCTGGCCTGAAAAATATCCAGCCTGCCTCGCGTATATTTTGTGAGTTTCTTCAGGCGGCAGGTCGTAAAATCCAATGTAATACAAATATATCGGTTTGGTGGACACAGTGACAGGAAATAGAAAAGCAGAAGGACGCTTATGTACGTTACACACACATAAACTTCTTTCATGCATCTGTCGTCGACTTTTGTTTGCATCGTAAAACTTTACAGCGTTCCAAGGAGTTGTTAAACTTTCCCTGGTTACGTTTTCTAGTTTGCTGGGAATTACAGTCTTTTCCACTTACGAAAATTGCATTTTCATGTCCGAACATGGCATTACATGACGTTTGTATTATATAGTACTAGTAATAGGAATTGCAGCATTTTGTTAAAAATATAGTCTATCGAATATGTAAAATAGATTGCAAATGTGGCAGCTACATTAAATAGAATCATTGTACTAAACTGTATATTTCATTAGTAAGGTGATATGATTTTTATTACCACTACTATGATAATGTAGTATTCAACAATTTGGTTATAGATGTATAATCAATGTATAGGGTATTATACAATAAATGCATAATTTCTTAAGGAAAGTATATAGTAAAAGTTCTTTGAATTAGTTATTCAATACTTGGTATTCTCCACCTTTATGAATAAAGAATCCTGAAAATAAAAATTCATCTATTTGTAATGAAGCTCTTTTAACCTCTTCTTTTAATTAAAATAATTTAACAAACAATTTTACAACTGCATGAATACAAAATATGACACATAAATATATACATAGTCTATAATACCTTTTTAACGAAACATTATTTTTGTATAATAAAAAAGTTTTTACATTGGTGAACACTCGTAACAACAAAAACATTAGTTTATTCCATTTGAAACAAATTTTATTTATTATTCCTCTGCCTACACTTCAAGCGCTCAAAAACTCATTCCCATCTCCTTGCTGATTCAATGATAATAATTTATCAGATAACAGTCAACACTACATTTCAAATCCAAACGTAAAATCCAGAATTTTTCAAATCTTGATCAACGTGCAAAAATTTCATCAACATTCGAAATGTTATTTTAAACGGTGTCCAATTTCGTATAGAATGGGCCAGCAGCAATCAAGTCGAACGTAGTTGCACTGCACGCGTATGTTGCATCAAACACAGTTGCGATATTGTTTACTCGTTTCGCAAAACGCAAGTCACCAATCTCTGTCCAGGCATGGGCTGACACAGGACTGTGCCATGTCCCCGGTGGCTGTTGTTGTAATGTCCTGCAAGCAGTGTCCTCGTCCATGTCTAAATTCCAGCACAATAGCGCCCGAGGCAAGAGATGTTTCTTCGTTTGTCTAACGCGTCTGTCATTAGAGACCATTTCCCTCGAAATTTATTCGGCAATTACGACCATTATGTTCGGTTAATTAGGATGCATTTGGACAAGTGTCTTACGGCTAACGATCGTTGAAACATATCCCGCATAAATTACCAATGACATTTATTGCTCGAGTCAAACATGAATCGTTGTTATCCGTTTGCAATATATAGTATATAGTAATATAATAGTAATATATAGTATTCATTTTTCAATTTTTAAAATCAGAAATTCCCTTGAATTTAGAACCAAGAAAGCTATGAGTATGGTTTCTGTAAAGGCTTTGAAAGAAGATTCTTTCTTTTCGTGTAATATTTAATTTTTTCAGTTATTAGTAGAAATATATTGTGAATAAATAAATATCATTTATCAACAAATAGACATTTTTCGATCATATTGTATTTCCAGTATTTTCAATTGTATTTTCAGTAATCTTCAGAGATAGAATATTAATAAAAATCATGTAATATAATTAATAAAATATATATTTTTTAATTTCACAAATAAGACCCTAATTTTTAGCTTTTCTAAATGTACATATACTACGTCCTAACATAAGAATGGTTGTTCTGAAGTAGCTGTACCATAGGGAAACAGGTTGATCACAGAGAACTGAAACAGTACTGGAGATTAAATTTAATGTAAAAAGTCTCTCTTTTTAATTAAGAGAACAGAAACAGTAATAGGGATTAGATTAAATTTAAAACGACCCGGTTTAATTAAAAAAGCTTTTTTACATAAAATTTAATTCCAACTGCTGATTTTGCTATCTATAAACAACCTTTCTTATTATCAGCTGAATATTAACGATGTTTGAAATAATTCAAGGACTCGTCAAAAATCTTCTAAATTGTCGCAATTTTGGTATTTTTATTTCATTTAATAAAATTCATACATAAACATATACAAAATGGATAAAACAAACCATCCATAAAGAATATTTGTCGAATTTTTAATTTCATTTACCTGGAAAACGAAGTTACGAACACAGTGAAAGGGCCTATTTTGAGCAAAAATCAACTTTCGAGAAAAATGAAACTTTTTTTGTATTCTAGAAACATTTGTGTTCCACGTGTGCGAACTCGTAGCAGTGTAGTTTCACCCGGAATTAAATTTTAAAAAACCATGAATATTCTCCAACGTGCTGTAACCCCCTCAACTGAAATAAACTCTGAGGCATTGTTCCCTAGCCACTCCTGAGCTGTTTTTACTTTGTAAGGTGGAACGAAATCTTCTGGTAAATCCGCTTTTGCCTTTAGAAGAAAGAGTTTTATTACTCCTTCCAGCACATCTTTTGTAGACTTTGGCTTTGCTTTAGCCTCGCCTTTTTCAAAGAAATAAAAACCATCACACCTCTGCGAAATACTTTCCACAAAAGAATTACTAGCTTTTTAGTAACTCACCTTTGAATTCTCTTGATCATCAACCGAAGTCAGAGTTGTGTAGCTAGCGAAACTTTTCAGAGAAATATGGATGATCTGAAGAACATCCACACAAGACTAGTGATACAGATCTGGGAACCCCTTGGAGTTGAAGTCTCAAGTCAAGTCGAAAATACTAGAATCCTTAATACTGAAACCTCAAAAGCTGAGTGTGTATTGGAACTCTGAAAACCTAACTTTTACATGAAAGCTCTGAGGATTCAGTCTTTGAGTTTCAGCCTTGGAACTTCAAAATATTCAAGCTTTGTGCATAATTACTACCGATACAATGATCAAAATAAACTATGAAATCAAAAAAACAGGAAATGATGAAAGAGAATGGCTAGTCTAGAGCTCATAAACAATACGAACATGAACATGGAAAGACAGAAGTTAAGTTCTACTAAAATTATAAAATAAACCACTAAACCAGTTAGAAAACAGTGAAACTTAATTCCAAATTTTAACGTGAAGCAAAAGTATTTGGATGAAATAGAACCACACTGAAGTTACGAAGCTTCCAGTGGTTCCATTATTCGTCGAAAGTGATTGTAAGGATGTCTAATTGATACGAATCCTCGTGGTACAACTTCGTAGCCACGCAAGGAAACACCTGCTTAGTGGAAATGTAATTGTAATTGTATTCGCTGTTGTAATTATGTCGACTGTAGTTTACCAACTGCAATTACAGAACATGTCAGGATGGTCATCAGTTTTGGCATACGCAGGTGTGATCCACCCTAATAACGCGTCTCGTATTCAACCAAATTAAGCGACTCCGTCAGAAGCATACTGCAAGGTTAATAGAGTTGTCCCTACACGAGTATGAACAGACATAGTCTGATACACGCTGAAGATAAACAAACCTCTTCCTTTCCGCATTTCCTATTGGAAATAGAAATATATCTGCCGAGAAACCTTCTCCTCATCGAATGTACATATACCAGACAGGAAAGATAAAACAAAACAATTTGTTTCAATATATTTCAATATGTTTCAATATGTTTCAATATGACAAGCTGTTTCAATATCGACATGATATCGAAACAATTTTCTATGTGTACAAACATTGCAACAAATTCAGGACTAGAATTGGAATTGATCAGTAATCATGTAGTGTTAGTTGAATATTAAACTTCACAGTTCATTCGTGTAAATTTTATTAATTGACAAACTTCGAATTCGACACAAATGTTTTCACCCTACTCGTGATCTTCTTCAAGTGAAGATCGATATAAAGCAAAATCTATGATAATTCCATTAATTCTTGTTGAATAATTATAAATTTTGGATTTTATTAATGCATCTTCACCTGATGAAATCCATGAAATGGCGCTTGTGTCGAACTCGAAGTTTGTCAATTAATAAAATTGACTTCAATGATCTAAGTTGCAGTTATTAATCACAAAAGAACTTGAAGACTATGCAACGAATTTTTATTTTCCAGGATGGACATTCAATCGGCGCAGAAGAACGAAAGCTTCTATCAGTGCTGCAGCGGGTTCTGCATCGACCTGCTTCAGAAGTTCTCCGAAGAAATTGGATTTACTTACGAGCTTGTTAGGGTAGAAGACGGCAAGTGGGGCACGCTAGAGGTAAGTTCAAATGAATTTTACTCAACAATAATTATTGAAGTACTCACTGATACCATTGGATCTTGTTAGTTTCCATCAGTGTGCGCTTTCTTCTCTTAGATACTATTGTCCCATTTCGATACAGCCACTCCTAAGTAGCGTTAGTAGTAGCTTTCTGAGGAGCTTTCAAATCTGAAAATTTTTGTTTTGTTTGTCATGCTCTGTTTGTTCATAGAATGGGAAATGGAATGGTCTGATTGCGGACCTGGTAAATCGAAAGACCGACATGGTGATGACGTCTTTAATGATTAATTCTGAAAGAGAAGCCGTGGTGGACTTCACAGTGCCGTACATGGAAACTGGAATCGCAATTGTGGTAGCCAAGAGGACCGGTATAATATCTCCTACTGCCTTCCTTGGTGAGTTGAAAAATCGGCTATACCCTATGACATTTGTATTTTGTTAACAAACTTTACATTCTAACAGTAATACGTACATATATATAAAAGTTTTTTATGTAAATTACATCATCAACGTCCAAGTGAATTTATAATTTGAGTATAAATATCTCTTTCGTTTTAAAAATATATCCACGAAAGAATATAAGTACCTCGTGACTAAAAAAGTTTGAGAAGCACTAGCATAAGTCATCCTCGTGGAATTTCATGTCATGCAACCAACAAGTGACACGGGAGCCAACATGTTAGGGTATCTCATTGCACATAATTAACGAGCGTAATATTACTGCTTTCAGAACCGTTCGACACAGCATCTTGGATGCTGGTTGGCATCGTTGCCATACACGCTGCCACTGTAATGATACTGCTCTTCGAATGGTTATCGCCATCCGGTTTCAACATGAAGGTAAACCCTTCAGGCCCCGCGCGGAGACTGGTATTATTAATTTCGCTTCTTCTCACTTATGTATGGTTTCTCACCTCCTCAAGCACCGACTCCCCATTCACCAAATTACTCACCGAACAATACCGTTAATCTTAATGACACCTCACCTTGACACTGTAGTAAGAGAGAAGATTAATTAAAACACGACACAGCGTATATAACGTTCCACTCCTTAATCTGTATAATAATAACGTTAGTTGCATTACTCTGTCGTTTTCAGTTTTAAAAGTATCGCCAATTTCTTATTGGAAAACTGCTGCTCGATGAGAAACTTATAATTTACGACTGTTTTACGTTTATGCACCTGCAGATGTGAAGCACACGCATACTGCTCATAAATTCTATTTTATTTCGTTAGTCGTACGCAGTATTGCATGAATTATTGAATCATTATAGTTATTTGGTCGTTTCAAGTATATGTTTAGGGGAAAAGATTTTCCTCCATTTTATTTAACCGACTTCGAAAATGGAGGAGGTTACTCAATTCGACATGTATATTTTTCTTTTTTGTTTTTAATTCAGAGTGACAAGTGATAGCTTTAGTCTCTACTATTTATTTACATCATATAACTCACTGGAAAAGCATGCATTATCCAAATTATTAAATTCAGAGATTATATGTTGATTCAGATTATATGTTGTAGTTGAATAAGGACCATGGCATACTTAACAATGTACTCATGTAATATAATTAACAAAAGGATACAATACAAATTTGGATATCCATTTTATTCATGTGTACTGTTTCGTTAAAATCAGAATGAAAATCTAACAGTGTCATAATAGATTTCAGTTGAATTGAATATAATTGTATCAATGTTTGGCTACACGTAAATTTTGGATCATTGCTCGAGGCAATCCTTTTCAGTTATTAAGAATTTATTCAATTTTGTATTTGTTTTACCTGTACATTTTCCCATTCGCATTTCGTTAAAATCCTTCTAAAAATATACCAGTTGTGCAAATAAACAAACTATTGTTGCAATAATTAAAACGTAACGACGATAAATTAAAACATATTCTTTGTGCTTCTTCATGACCAACAAAAAACCCTATTAAATATTTGATTACAAATGATAACCGATATTTTTGTTAGTCATTGTTATATGTCACTGTCACTGCTTTTCCGTAGCCCAACGTTACACACTCGGTAGAACACGTTTTGTTATCATTGCATTGTTGTTGCTACGCCCGAGTTCGATAACAACTGGAACTGGAGCTGTTTCAAAACGAGCGATTTCTGTTGCTTTCAGAAGAATCCGTCACCGAATCATCGATTCTCGTTCTGTCGCACGTACTGGCTGGTCTGGGCCGTATTATTTCAGGCAGCCGTCCATATCGATTCTCCCAGGGGATTCACAGCCAGGTCGGTAAAACAATTTCTATCGGAATTAAAATCTTCATCGTAAATCATAGCCGCGAACGGGCCAATAAGAGAAAAGCCCGGCGAAACTCGGTTAATGCGTTTTTCACCATCGCTGGGTATCAAACGAGATCAAAGGCTCGACGAAAACTTAGCGAACTCGCTCGCCGGGCGCAAAGTCTGCATTTACATGTTTCATGACTCGATTCTGTTTTCGCTGCATCTCGAAAGTAGGGCAATAAAACGTTTGTCGACGATCCCTCCTCTCTCGTGTCCCCAAAGTGCAGCCCTTTGACAAAGTTCTAGTTCAATATTTAATTACGCGATACCTGATATCAGTGGCAGATTATCCTATAAATGACAACTAAAGTGCGTTAGTTGTTACCAGATTGGAATCTCAGAACCAATGTTTCGAAACTGATTTTTGTTTTTCGTTTAAGATATTTTTTTTTTTTTCTGTGAAGACATATTGATATTGCTGGATTCAAATTTCTACAGTAGAAAGTTATTTTACGTTTTAAAGAAAAACTATAGTTAGAAAGGAAATCCTAGTTCTGCAGTGAATGTTATAAATTAAAACCTTTGAAATATAAGTTGTACCTATATAGCTATTTAAATCATTGCCAATTTATATAATAACAAGAAACTTTAAAATATTTATGTATAATTGATTGGATGAATTCATGAATAAATATGTGTATATCATCAGGCTTGAATAGTAACTATAAAATAATTTTTAATTTTTACTAATTGATAACTTGATTTAATTTTAAATTCTCGGTAAATATTTATTTATCCTGACAATTTAATAATAATTAGTAATCTCTCAATCTGAAATTTGTTAAGTTTTATTTATAGTACTTAATCGTTCTAGAATTGAATGCCACATAAAATGGAAAAATATTCAACGAAATCATACAACACCTTGCTTCTAAATTTATGAAAAATATGGAAAATATTTACACCGTAAATGTTTCATATGTATCAGCTATTTAAGTTAAAAAGGACTCGTGAGATATCTATAACAATTCTCTGTACAAAATAAGTTGAGCAATTTATCCATAATTTCTATTATAAATAACATAACAAACAAAGTCGGTTAAAATGAACTACTACACAATTTCTCAGTCCAAAAGGCACGTATTATTTCTGAATTATAATTCTGGGTCAAATATTCCTCTCCGTGTAATATGTTTATTTCCTCGCCTCGACAAAACGAGATTAAAACTACAAATATTCTTCGTTTGTTTCCCCTGTAGAAACCCACAAATTTCATTTACTCCTGAGCCCAATGGATATATAATTCGCCACTGGTCAGTATCTCGCGCTATATAAAAGAAATAGCACCACCGATTTACCCAAAGCTTGGGTTCAGCAATAATTTGCCTAATTACATTTTACACCAGAACGCGCTCGCCAGTAACTCGTCCCGTTAACCCGCGACAACACACTATACTTTACGACGTAAGTAAGGGGAAGTCGTTTAAATCAAAAAGTAATATCTTAGATTATAGTGCGGATTCGCGGGGTCGGAGTATATTCCCAGCGGTAGAATACTTTCGTTTGTGCCAAGAAACCTTATCTACCCACAACATTATCCGTGAAAAATGTGCATTTCATTTCTCGTGCGGCGAACCGTGAATTCAAATGTGCTCGTTTCGCGTTTCACTTAATCTCTGTAAACGCGATCAATTACGCGAACATGGCTTCCTCGATAACGTTATCCCCTTGCCCTATTACATCCTGCGAGACTCGCGATAAGCTTTACGAACCAAACGTAAGAAACACGAGCCAGATGTGTGGCGCATTACTCTTGCCAAATGTTAGAAACACGAGTGAAATTTGTTGGGAAACGAATTTTGTGAACGAGTGAAAAACCAATTTTTACAGACGCTGTTTTCTTAGCAACAATATATTCGGATTTCTAGAAAGACTATTCTTTATATTATGATTTGTATAACGTTGGATATAGCATTATTGAACGATTCGACAAAGTGTTATTATGTTAATAAGTTGTATATATAATATAAATATATGTGGATAATATAAATAATATATGTGTATATATTATCTATTAACATAATAATGTTTTGTCGAATGTATATACGTACTTATTATGTATTCCATGTAAATTGTTTATTGCATTACAAACTAATACGCTGAATATATAAAATTTCCATTTCTATTAACTAGAATATACATTTCAGAATAACACAAAGCAAAAAATACTTGAACTTGATAAAATTATGATCAGATGTACAGTACAATAATAACTAAAGTAATGGCTTTTCCAAAAGAGACTTTAGAATTTTATTTTTTAATCAGACATAAATGGTACGTAATATATCCCATTTTATCATTTTAAATGAAAATATACATAATTACAATTAATCGTGGTAGATATAATTATGTTGTCTACTATGTGCAGGAGTATTTTGCTATTAAAACATTCGTGACCGGCAGATATTTTACGTTTCTAATATCGAGTACCGACGAAAATAATAAAATTCTGAAGCTGAACACCGCAAATTTGTATCGCTAGGGCGAAGATAAGAATTACGAAATATACTTTGAAATATCAATGTTGTAAATATGTACTGTATAAAATAGTAAGATTTTCATAATTTTTTCATAACCAGGAATGGAAGCTGAAGTGACGTGAATTCACGCCAACGGTCGCGAATTTGTGAAAAGACAGAATCCTAAATCCTCTTTTAGGAAACCCTTCACTATAGTGCACGAGTAATAACAACAGCTTTTCCAAATCATCGTGCGAACGTTAACACGCGTTATATCGGAATGCATTTTCGCTCGCTGTTTCAACTAACAAGACGCGTTGCAAAAAATAATTGACCACGGTTGTTCGAAACGTCGATATCCGATATATGCGGCTTAACTTTCAGGAATTTTTCCTCGATACGGATATCTCGGTTACGCTGAATCGTTCCCGAACGGACATCGTACGTCAAATTAATGTCGCGCGACCGTTTCCATCGACGAAATCGGATAACGAGACATTTGTCACGGATAACAAGGAGATATAAACAAACTTTATAATCAAAAACAAAGATAATGAAATTTCCTGCAAAAAAAATACAATTTAAGAAATGATACTTCGTACATTATTACTATAATTCAACGTCTTTATCACACAAAGTTTGCAGTGTTTTATAAATCTAAAGCAAACGTTGATTTGCTACGAGGGATTAGGCACGAGGAAATTTAGCAAGGTGGCAAGCTGCAGCTGAAGTGCTGTTTCTAAACCTAACCACAATCATATTGGAGGTACCGTTTCACCTCTGATTCTAAAATAAACTTGGGAAACCGACCAGTAACCACAAACTAAACATTGATATTCATTGATTGATTTTGCATGGTTTGCGATGTTTATTATTTCTAAACAACATTTCAACGCGTCCCTCGTCGACTGGACGTTGTATCGAATTCGAGATCACCCTTGTCGACGTTAAAGGGGCATTCCAGCTTTGCCCGCAAAAAAACTAGGGCGTCTATGGAATTTTGTAGGATGGAAACTATTTGAGATATTCGTTACGAACTTCGCACCGCTATACGCGAACATACTACCGAGTTATGTGAAATTTTTTCTTGCGAAAGTATGTAGCAGTTTTATAGACATAGGACGCTTGCGTGACTGTTATAAAATAAAAGTGGCCACCTGCGCGGTTGATACGATGGTACTCTTAGTAAACCGTGTAAAAAAGAAATGAAGAAAATATTAGAGTCAAGTATTAAAGTGTTAAAGTTAAGTGTAGAATCTAAAAAAAAATGGCACAAGTTGTTCATTTTAAATCGAGTATGTGACACACGAGGAAAAACAACTTCCTTATTAATTTTTCTGAGCAACAATAGATTTCAAAAATTTAGAGACTTCGCGCACACGCAAGAGTTGGAGAGATTGAAGATCTAACTAACTAAACTAACTGATCGCGAACTGTCACCTGCTGTACCATACTTAATGATTTTCCGCGATAAGACATTTTTTTCTCAGAAAATCCCTTCATTGTTTCGTGACGCACATTCTAACGGAACATTTTTTTTGTTACTACAGTAAAATATCCTTATAAGCACAAATTTTTATACGATAAATGCACAGAAACCATCCCCACTACAGACCACTAATACCAGCTACGGCTCCTTGATGTTGTCCCTGCTAATCTAAATCTAATTTCACTTTACACTTTTGCACTTTACACTTTTTATATCTAAAAATGTTATTACAAGTACGCAGCTATTAGCTCGTTATTACTCACGACGAAGAATTGTTCGTCACGAATAATACCGATTACCAGGTCTCACCACGTGGAAGTTGCTGCAACTGGAGACCCGGAGATAGAAGGAATCAAAGTTCCTTCGATCTCCCCCTACATAGAGTATACATACATAGATGTATACTCTACGTAGAGTCGACGAGCTTAATACTAAGTACGAAACGATGAAAATCAAAGGAAAATAAAATTCCCTTCGATTTCCAAAGTCTAAATCTGACTCTGTCAAATAATTATTTGAACTAAGAGGGTAAAGCTAAATTGAGATCGTGACGCGACGCGACCATGAAACTGAACTTACTGAGTCAGTCCCGTTTCCTCTTGATGGATCTGGACTCGAGACGAAGACGACCAACGCCTCCGAACCAGTCTTACACACCCTGCACCCATCTGGGAGCCACAATAGGACCCGACTTGCACCCATCTCACTGCGCTTTGGACTTACTGCACTGCGCCAGGAGCCTGGGACTACACCAGACGAGATACAGGGAGTAGAGAACCGATCCGGAGGAGCCGATTGTCTTCCTCTCGAATACAGATCCACCAGGAGAACGGCAACCGACCTTTCTGTCCAGTTACACAGTTGGTCACTTCACTTATGACATGAATTAATAATGACCGAAGTGGAGAACGGAGTTGCGAGTCCAATATGGACCCACGAACAAACAAGAGAATTGAATAAGTGATTAATAATCATTTGACAGAGGACAGACACGCATGCCTTAAAACTAATGAAACCAAACTGAGGTACCCACAACCAATACCAAGCAAACTAAGGTACCCACAACTAATACCAAGCAAAGACTACAAGGAAGAATAGAACGGACGCGTGACGCGGACGGGCGATCGCGAGATCCATATCGACCGATGGATCGTCGAAGAATGAGCTCTCACCCCTCTAATACCTGTGTCGGTCGAGGGTCGCGGCTCGCTTGTGCGTCTCGAAGTAGAGAAGGGAAAGGGCGAACAACAACCGCGTGACGCTCAATTCGAAGGCTCGTTGAAACCATCGAGAAAATAATTCGTGAAATATTAATATTACAGCAAAATTATATTCCTTATCATTGTTTAAATAATAAGTATTGTTAATAATTAATTTAACTATTGTCAGAAATTAATATTTAGTCGAAGCATTCAATAGATATTACAATATTGACAAATTTCTCCCGATTAATGTCTCGAATGAATATTTATTCGGAACCGTAATTGTTATTAATGTTTAATCGAACATTGAATGATACTACATGTACCACAAATGTTTAATTATAATTGCCAATATTAATTAATAAATTTTAAGTATACAACTCATTAAAAATATAAATTCCAGTACTTTTACCAAATTTCCAATAACTTATTTGATGAATAAGACAGATAGACAAGGTGCACAATCTCCGTGTATGTTTGAAAAGGCGCAAAATGAACGACCCTAACCGTGATTGTTCAGATTCATGACAAATGTGTGGGCGCTGTTCGCCGTGGTGTTCCTCGCCATTTACACTGCTAACCTGGCCGCCTTCATGATCACGAGGGAAGAGTTCCACGAATTCAGCGGAGTGGATGATCTTCGTTTGGCGAAACCGTTTTCCCACAAGCCCATGTTCAAATTCGGCACCATACCGTGGAGTCACACGGACAGCACACTCGCGAAATATTTCAAGGAGATGCACGCGTACATGAAGGCCTTCAACAAAACCAGCGTCGCCGAGGGGATCGAAGCAGTTATCAGCGGGTAAGCGTGAGAGAGAATCAGATCGCTCCAAGTTTGATAACAGCCTGCCAATTACCGAAATTACTGGCGGTTGTTTGTTAAACTCGCGCAAACGCTTGACGTCCGTACGGTATTACACGTACGGTATTACTCGTTGTCGAACTTCAGGAAATTCTGTTTAGCGTTAATCTGCGAATAAGTTTCATTGGTCTTCGTTGTAGTAATTTGTTCGCAACTATGGCTCCTTTGATTGGTAGACTACTGGTGTTGGAGGTGTATAGTTTGACCACTACGTAGTTGGTCGAAAGTCGATCTTGTGTGAACGAAGGAGAAAATAATATCAAGTAGATGTAGGTTCTTGTTGAAGACGTTTTTTCTATATGGCAGCTCGGCTAGTTATACGAGTATTTTATTACTTATTTATTCATTTACTTTTTTAGTTATTTTCAGTTATATGAAGGACACATATTTTATCACAATATTATATAGATAGATCATTTATTTCTTGTAATTTTTTACATGAAAAAGAACTTTGGTGTACATCTTTACGAGCCATAAAAACATTTAATATATACATATACATTATTATGTAAACTACTTATATGATGAAAATTAAAGATAACCAACAATGAAAAAATGTAGAGATAAAAGAAAGAAATGCTTACGTACGACTGACGGTCTAATCAAGTAATTAGAAATTAAAGTATTAATTAAAACGAAAGTCACGTTGTGGTAGTTATGTACTCGTATATAACCACCAGATGCACGTAAAACATTAAATTATGCTTATTTATACTAAAATCACTTATACTGTTCTGTTTACCTCGGTAACCAATTCATCTTTATCTTTCCTCGAAAATCAACGTGATGGATCACCTAAAACCTTTGTCGGAAGTAACGAACTGTTAATAAAAAGAACGTTCCACTTCAGGAGGACTCGAACGGCTTAAATCGCTAGAAGTTTCCGTGAGATTATTTCGTGGAAAAGTAGAGAAAGCTTCGAAGCAATGTAGCCGAGATAAAACTGAACTTTGTTGATGCGTGTAAAAAGTTTGGAAAGTCTGAATCGATCGATCAGCCGCGTGATTCGTTCGATTCAACGACTGAACGCGAATTTTCTCCTACCCGTGGTCGGTCCTCTGAGAAATGCTGTTCCTCTTGCGACAGAGAAATGGACGCTTTTATCTACGATGGAACGGTTTTGGACTATTTGGTTGCACAAGACGAGGACTGCCGACTGCTGACCGTGGGTTCCTGGTACGCCATGACAGGATACGGTCTCGCGTTTTCAAGAAACTCCAAGTACCTACAGATGTTCAACAAACGTCTATTGGACTACAGGAACAATGGTATATCGTAATTTCACTGTAATTAACTACACAGAGTTCTCTATTAGAGAATTCCTTGGTTAATTATCTCGCAAACTTCTCTTATTGATAAAGTTAAAATTGAATCAAGTACATATATATATATGTAATAATTCACATTATTCATCATATCATTATTCATATTATTAATATCCTTCAATAATTCGTATTTAAAAATATATAAATTTATAACGTATATATGTATTCATGTATAATAGGAATTCATTTTATTACGAATTTATCTATTTTTAACATCAACATATATATTCTTAAAAAAATTATATTCAAAAGTAAATATGAATTTTTATATTTTTATGAATTTATATTACATTTCTTCTTTTAGAAACAAGTTTCATGACAAAAGTTCAATTTATTATATAATGTTTTCGATCTCATTTCGACTTCACTTCTCGTTGGTATTTGCAAACAGTATTTTTCTGATTCATCCTAACAATTATATAGAAACACATGTTGAATTCGCGGTTGAAAGAAAATTTAATTCGTGTAAACATTTTTAACGAACTACTTCTAATGTGTAACTAATAGTAAAAATAATTGAAATGATAACTGAAATAAAAAAGTATGTTTGTAAAATATTAACATTTGTTTTTGGACTAAGAATCAGTTCAGTAAGTGTCAACGAAAGTGCACGACGTTTTAAGGCTAATTAATCGTTACCTTAGGTTCCTCTATTACTTTGCTAGAGTATTTAATATTTCAGGGGATTTGGAACGTCTGAGAAGGTACTGGATGACGGGCACCTGTAAGCCAGGAAGAGAGGTTCAAAAGAGCAGCGATCCCTTGGCACTGGAACAGTTCTTGTCCGCGTTTCTCTTACTGATGATGGGAATTCTTTTGGCCGCGGCCTTTCTACTTCTAGAACATTTGTATTTCAAATATGTCAGACAGCATCTGGCGCGGAGCGACGGTGGTGGTTGTTGCGCACTTTTCAGTTTGGTAAGCTCTGCTCAGCCTGTCCAATCTATTTCTCGCTTTATATCGATTAAGCAACACCTGGCGGTATTTTCTTAACATTCTTATATACCTCTGAACGATTTTAATTTCTCTTTTTCCGCGCGATTCATTCCTCTTCCTCCGCAATATGTATAAAAAGAAAACTGAAATGGAACACTAGCTCTGGAGAAATTGCATTTGGAAAAGAAATAAATCTTCATTTAAAGATTCAGAAGTATGATGTACCATTTTTATTTTAATAAACAGACAGATGTTGAAAGTTACATTCATAGTCATTGAAACTTTATTACATTTATGTATTTCGTCCAAAAAACGAGCCATTAACTTTCAGAACTGATTAATCAACAGTTGTAATTTGTATACGTTGAAATTGATTATTCAGGTCTTTAAAAATGTAAGAATGGTCTCATTAATGAATTTTTCATTTGATTCGAATACCTGTTCTTTAACACGTTGACTGCCAGACTAATACTCTTAATTACTACTGTGATTAAGTTTTGTTTCCAGACTATAAGAAGCTACATAATCAAACATTTATTGTGGTATTTATTTTTATAACTTTATTGAAGTTTAAGAATTTTATTCAAATTTATTTTTTTTTTGTACTTAACATTCAGAAGTAATTTTGTTAAGAGCACTGGCGATCAACGTGTTAATGTGAAAAATTGCTTCGTTTGATCCACTCGAATGCTTTGTTTAAAGAGTATGGGAAAGTCTTTAACGTTCCGTGGAGCAGTGTACGAGGCACAGGACATCCTGAGGTACCACAGATGCAGGGACCCCATCTGCGATACTCATTTGTGGAAGGTCAAGCACGAGCTGGACATGGCCAGGATCAGGATACGACAGCTGGAAAAGGATCTCGAGGCGCACGGGATAAAACCAACACAGACTAAGTACGCAATTCCTTTATTTAATTTTCTTTAACGTCGATCCTAAGTTCTACGATATTCGACCTTCTGTGCCACGATCGAGATTCCCCAGCCCATCCGAGAGGATCTCAAAGAACATTTGTAAAAAAATTAATTACAAACGTCTGCTGAACTACTTGTGGCCACGTTCGTTTTTCTTCCATTTTCTACAACTTTGTTCCATTTTGTAATTCTTGTGTAGATGAAACGGTAAATAAATTCATTAACTTGTTGCTTGTGTGTATAAAAGGGTACCCAGAAATGATCTGGATTAAATTTTTTAAACGTGTTTATTAAAATTTACGCTTTTATATTCTAGTGTTTCTTAAAGTACTCTTCGTATGAGTTAATATGTTGTTTCAACGTATCGCACAGTAACTCAGAGTAAATAAATATTTTAAATTACGCGAGGAAAGGGAAATATGTAAGTAAGGAATCGGAAGTATTATACAAATAACTACACTTAACCTACTTCCCATTCTTGGTACGTGAAATAAGAAAGAAAAATTTTCTTAGTAATATCTTTAGTTGTATTGCATAAATATGTATATAAGTATTGTATACAAGTAAAGTAAATTGAGTATTGTATATAAGTAGATAAACACTGTACATATGTAAATTATAAATATTATTTTATCTAGTAAATGGTTAGTAAAATAAAATTAGAAATTAGTATTTTTAATGCATATGCATTGTAGTTAAAGATATTACCAACAAAACTCATCTTTTCATCGTAATGGTCAACTTCATGTTTTAAGAATGGCGAGTACTTTGTAAAATAATTCTTTTCCCTTAATATTTATTTACATAAAATATCTATTTATTTTGAATTACTGTGCAATAATACTCTAACTTTTCCCTCGATTACCAAAATATTAAACATTTTTTTAATAAAGATGAATCCAATTTTTACTTCAAAACAAAGAAATTTACATTTAACTAAAATAAAACTAAATTCTTCCAATTCACCTAGTCCATAAAATTGCAAACTTTGATAAACGTGTCCCAATAAAAATAACACCAGTTGTCTTTCGGTACCCTACAACAAGTAAATGCAAATGCAAGTAGTCTCGAGTAACCAAAATAGTGCATCAGCAAAGTAAAGTTCGATGGTTTGAAAGCTTCGAGATCCGCTCCGATGATCGACGAAAGGAAATCCGTGAGAAGCGATTCGAGAAACGAAAAGATCCGCGACGAAGGGAACGGACAATCGCGTACCGCTTTTATCTCGGGCGTCTGATATACTCCCGCTTCGTTTGCTTCCTTTCGAGTACCGAAAACTCGCTTTCGGGAACGATATATCTCACGGAATGGTGCAGTTTGTTTTCCTACGAAACATCAAAGGACCGCTGTTCCTAGAGAGATTTTGACGCTCGCCACACCCCTTCAATTACGATGGCGTATCGCAAAGCGGAAGTGGACCCGTACAAGAGAGATCTACGCATGTCACTGCATATTCACCTCACCTGTCTTCCGTAAAATTCGCATGGGTTTAACATCGACTCACGTCCCCGCGCTGGAACCCCAGAAACGTGTCGCGATGGGGGATAAAACAAGATTAATCCGGGAAATGATTGGGAATTGAATTGGGTCGACATACTATAATCAGTGACTGAGCGAAATTATTCGACACTGTCCATAGTCTAGTTAATCATGCCGAGGGAAACCTCTATAGTCTGGTACTCTGATTTGAGGATCGTGACTTCTTTGGGAATTTTTTTTTTTTTTTTAGAGTATGAGATGAAAGGACTGGAATGAAATAACAATTAATAGAGATGTAGCTTTTTGAACACTAAACTTACGGAGATTTCTTATCAGATTTTTAGTAGTGAAGTAATTCTTTAGTAAGTGAAACTACTAAATTAATTAGGAGGCTTGAACAAAAATAAATTTGAATGTAAGCTTGACTTTTTATATGAATAAAAATCACCATAAATGGTTGACAAAGAATACAAACGGTTTCTGTAGAACCTTGTAAAATATGGAATTGGTCAAAATGACCATGCCCTGTAATTTCAAGGTATACCTTTCTTTTCTAAACAACGTTATTGTTGCTATTTTTATTTATTCATAAAAAATTATACAATTAAATGATTTGATCTTAATTCTATTCGCATAATCTAAAACTGATTTATTTTTCTTTCTATAATGAACAAGTTGAGTCAGGCATTTTAGGTTCGTGTAATAATAATAATAAAAGCTTTTGTCTTCCATAAAACGTCGAATAATTTCGTCCAGGTTTGCAAAATGAGCTTATTTGTTGGGTAATTAACGTTCGATTAATTATGGCCGCTGCTGGCGTATTCTCCAAGCGGTAGGACGTGAGAATCGACTTTAAATCCTGACCTACTTTCTAACGTTACTTGGAGCCTGGCTCGCACAGCATGCATCTATTTACTAATAAATATATATACATTTACATATACAGATGCGAAATGTGTATATAATATTCACAAGTATATCTATATAGGTTCCTTAATATCATGATATCGGCACAAGCATATTGTTTCTTTCTAGTTTTTCTTGTCTATCTGCGCCATTTTTCATACACTGTCGATCACAAGTTTAGGACCACCTCATTTGTAAGTCGAAAGCAGATTCCTTCATAGAAGAAAGTCATGCGAAAGGTTTCTTTATAAGGATTTCTGGTTCTAGAAAAGGAACGTACAACTCTTTTTTTTCGATCATTACCTTCGTCTTATTTCTCTGGAAATAATAAATCAACTTCCTTACTAAAGGCTCTATTTTTTTTAAGTTTGTAATTATACATAGCGATAAGTTGCATTTTTTTTAGAACTTAGATACGTGCATGTAGTTTTATCAATTATTCTTTTAATTCACTACTGGTTCAGATTATTTTGTAGCGTGACAATCGATACTTTCTTCGTTCGAGACGAAAAGAAATTATTAAACGGAATCGACGCACGTTGCATGCTTTGACGACGCCAACATTTTCTCTGGCGATAGTTTTTTTCACGATTATACCTGAAAAATGCAATCATGATCGTTTTTATATGTAATGTTTTTGTTTAATTTTTCTCACTAGTATGAGCAGTGGAATACTAAGATATGACTCGGCATCTGATTTTTATTACACAGTATTGACAATTTACTGTTGTGCCCTTTTCAGAATAACTTAATAAATTTAGTATTAAATAGTAAGTGAAATTTTTAAATGAACGTTAAAATGTTCTCCAATACCATAAAAGTCTGTGATATGAAGATACAAGAATATTATACTTGTAAACATATTATATGATTCCATTGAACTAAACTTGCTATTGAAATTCACATTTACATTAATATGTCATGCTATAATTCTTGTGTAAGATAAAATATTACAGCAATATGTAACATAAAACTTTTATTTCGTTTCAAGCATTTGGATGAGTTCAATAGTTTTTAAAAAGAATTTTAAAATGTAATAATGTATATTAAATTCTCAATATTCATTGCACTTGAACTTTCTTTAAATAAAAGATAAATGTTCCTAATAAAAACTCAAAGGAAGGTTGAAGCGTTAAAAGAAAAACAAATTTATTTATTCAAATATTTTATCTCTAAGTGAATTTTTTCAAAAAATAATTCTCCACTTCAAGTTGATTTAATCTTTATTTAGAAAAGAGGTGTAGCCTGTCTTGTTTTCTAGAATCACCCTGCAGACTTGAGTTTCGTGTTCCTGTAGATAACCCAAAGAACATAGTTACTATAGAATGATATGAATCTAAATAGACAAAACAATAAAAAAAATGCATCAATAATTGGTGAAAAGCATTATTCATACTTAGCAATAGCCATACTTACAGACGAAGGACTATTTGAAATATATCATCTGGGCCTTGAACTTGCAACTTATGGTTTGATCTGTTACGTCTACGTTTGTATACGTTCGCATCAAGGCAGAAGTTCAAGCACAATCAAATACTCAAGGATTTAAAAAACAACCCTGTAAATAATTATAAGTAGACACAGCTGAAGGACAATTAGTGTCGTTTAGCGTTAAAGGTATTGGTGAAGTTGGTGGTTCGAAACTTATGGCCGACAGTGTACGTTTCACTGCATCACGCAAGAAACCACGTTTCACGGTGAAGTGGCTTCGAATTTCCGTGTCTGTATTGAAAAGTTGTACGATGAAAAATTGGGGAGAGAGAAAGAAACAAAAGGTGAGGGGAGAGTAAAAGAATACGTGCTGGCTTAAAAAAAAAGGCAGGTCTTCTCAACGACACGAGATCTCGACGAATTTCCGAAACTCAGTGCCAAGGAAAGTTTTCTCTGAAAACTTCATCCAGACAGCCTAGGAGTGTTTGCAGAGCATCCAGGTGTATTGTTTCGAAGAATCGCGGACCTTGTCTAATCGAACTTTCGTGATAAGCGAACCAACAAGATTTCGTAATACTGTCACGTGTGTAAACGAAAAACTTCCAAGCTTTCGACGAAATTAAATTTCTTGGGTGAATTTCGACGGAATTAGATAAGATTCAAATCCAGAACATCGTGATTCAGAGCACGAATTTTTATTAAATTATAAAATGTTATAAAATTTATTACGAACATTTAACAAATGAAAAATTAGGTCAAACTTTACATTGTGAAAGTTTTAAAACATTCATTTTCTGCCTAAAATACCTCCGTACAATTTTTTTTGACAATACCATTCAAAAGCTGAGACTTGGTAGAAGTTTTTCCCGAAGAGTGCCCGCCAAACAACTATGTCCTTGAAATCGAAAAACGGATAGAGAAAAAGTCAAATTTTTTAAAATTTTCACAATGTAAAGTTTGACCTAATTTTTGATTTGTTAAATCTTCGTAATAAATTTTGCTTTGACATCAAAGAAATGGGAAATTTAACGCTTCTTCGAATGGTATACTTACTTTTCAGTTTGTACTGTAATTTGGTGGAGTTATGGCCGTTTAAAGAGTGTAAGTCGAAAACGCAGAAAAAATATTAAAAGTAAAAATTCTCGAGAATAAGGCGACACAAAGAATATATCTGAGACTAATTGTTTGTTGGAAATTTGTTGTAGAATTCACACCCTGCGTATGTCCGAACTTATACGTAGACACCCTGTATAGTAAGTTCCGTGAGTATTCGTACCTTCTATGTTGATTGTAGAAATTTATTTAAATTGAAAGACAGGTTCGATGTTTCTAAATAAATTGTTCATTATAAATACATGCATGTGTAGAATTGATATATATATATATATATATATATTATTATATATTATTATATATATATTTATATATATATTTATAACTTTATATATATATTATATATATTAATAATAAAACATTTATTTAGAAACATCAAACCTGTCGTTTAATTTATACAAATTTCTTCAATAGACATATAGGGTATCAATTTTGAGACTGATTGTAGATATAAGAATGATAGATGAAACAATCTATTCACCGAATATCAAGTCACCGAAACAGAAACTAGTTACATCTCTATATCGCCACGTTTCTGCGATGCCTTTCTTTCAATCTCGAGTTGCCAAACCTCCCTTGTCAGTTGGCTACGATAAAGCGAAAGTGTCTACCGATGATGAGGGGAGTAATAATAAGACAAATAAGGGTGAGTGAGGTCTCGTGTCGTGGGATGCTGCCGGGCCATATTATGAAATGGTTGGTGGCGGAACGATGGTGGAAAGGAAGCCTGGCACATATCCACGTCGGCTTTTTTAAAGGAGGAAAACCGGAAGTCTCGGCTGGTGGCGAGGATGCTTTCAAAGCTCGGAACGCCATACACCACCGGAGCCATTGGCGGTGGAAGCTCCGCATCCGCTACCGCCATACTTCGATTCGTAAGTCAGCAATGTCCACAACACGTAAGAATGCTCAATGACGTAGGAACCGAAGCAAACATTTATCTGGATGTATCTGACGAGTAGCTTTTGGAAGACCGCTGTCTTCAGCATCCTGGTACCCAGAGAACCTCGCGACGAGGCCATCGTAACGTTCTTTTCTTAATTTCTAATGATTCCCCTAATTCTTTTTTAATTTTCAATCAACGATGCCTGTAATTCTTTCCTTAATTTTTGTGTATTGATAACTTGATAATTTGGTATTATTCGATTTTATCAAGCAAACTTAATTTAAATCATGCTCAATTTATAAAACAAAGAACATAATCAATTTCACCATTTAAATTGAATTTACTATTAAACTTACTATTGAATCGCCAAGCATTTACCAACCAAAATGAATATTACTCTTCAATGTTTAATGTTCAATATCACAGCCTGTTTTTTGGATATTTTACATTGCCTCTACGTTTTGACCTTACTCCAAACTTCTTTCATGAATAATTAAATACGCAATTCATATTCATTCTGCAATAGCGAAAAACATAATATGAATTTCACAGATTGAATCGAATGCGCTTGTAAATATAAACGAAAAACAAAACATAGGAGACGGTCTAACGATATTATTGAACGAAATATTAAAATACTACCGAGCAAAGTGTTTTAAGTAGATAGATACATAATTCAAGCTCAATCTATAATAATAAAAAAACATAATATAAATTTCAAAATTGAATTTACTTGTAAATAGAAACGAAAAATAGAACATAATGATATTGCTGAGCAAAATAAACGTTGCTTTCTTCCACAATTAATTTTGATCGCGAAATATTGAATCGGAATTTTTTTCTATCGCCTTCTTTTTGGTAGTAACACGTGGCCACGGCGAGCACACTTCTTGCTCGCCGCGAGATGTGTTTACTGGGTCACGGATACTGAAACTTGGCACCGGGACAGCGGTACGCCGAATCAACTGCCAAACGCCCGAAAAATTCGCGCTTGTTTGTTCGCCAGTCGGGTGTCGGTTCGGGTCAACCGGCGTTCGCCATTTAAAACGAACCGGAGATCAGAGTGTCGCGTAACATACGGCGCGAGCATGAAATCTGGCACGTCTGCTAAACAGGACACGATATTTTCCTCTGTCTCACACGTTATCGCCGATACATCTGAAATTGTATACGCAGCCTGCATCGAGCGGAAGAAATCCCAAAAGGGTCTATGTTATTTGTTACTTTATATCCGACCGCGAATATATAACTGAAATTTCATTCATACGTTTCCTACGTCACTGTGAACCGCTGCGGAGCGGACCTGGTCGATACTTCGTATCAGTGATTTCCAAAGTAGGAGGCTACCCCTACGAAAATGTTTGACAGTTTGAGTGCCGGATAAATATTTGTGAGAATATTTATGAAACTAAAATTTTGTTTATACATGTGGAAATTATATAATCAAACATTTGCGATAACATTTACCTTCGTACGACCAAAATTCATGAATTCTATCCAGATTTATTTTCTTTTACGCCTGGTTTCGCAATTAATTTCTTAGTTCGTGTGTGAAAATCGCTATCCGTGGGGATCACGAACTTTTTCGTTCTATATCGTATTATTTACAATATATAATATAATAAGTATAATTAATATATCAAGACGGGGGTTCAGAAGCTTTACTTAAATAATAATTTATATTCAACAAGTGGAACCTCTCTGCCTCAATCGATTAAAATCGAGAAAAGTAACTTAGCTCTGAATGAATTCAATCGAACGTGACAATAATTCTCTCTGTATCATTTTCGAGCACAGAAGCAGTCCTTTTTCTTAAGGGAACGCCTCCCGAAAAAGATTGGAAACGAAGTTCCGCGAAGTAGTCAGGAAAATTGTTATCACGGCGGAACGAGAAGAATCGAAAGAGTCGTTCGAACGTCGATGAATTCGTCCACGGAGAGGATAAAGTCGATCTCGTACAGCTCAGTTCGAGTTCAGTTTCGGCGCGATTCCTCGGTGTCTCTTACAAAAGGAACATCCACGAAGGGTCCCCCTCGAATTCAGTGAAACTTCGCAGATGCGTAGAGCGGTCAAAAATAGAGGGGTGCGTGCAGATTTTTATTAGCAGCGATAACTCAACTACAAAGGTTGGAAAGACCCTCCAAAGTTTCAGACTTCCAATGCCAGAACGAAACCGTTTGGAACCACAACAAAACCATTCGGAAACCATTGAATGTCACAGGAAAACTTTTAGATAAACGTATGTTTGATAAGGGATGATATAGTGCATACAGTGGTAAAACGAATTAATTCAATAAATAAGAAATCACTGGTAGGTTTCATAGGAAATAGTGTTTAAAATAAAAGGATGAAATTGTGAGGGGTATTTTTATAAACTAAAATTACGTGTATTTTAAGCAAAAATTGGAGCAAGATTCCACGAATCTCAATTTAATATACAGGAAATCACTGGATAGTTTCATAGTCAATCACTTCTAAAATAACATTAAAAGGATGAAACTGCGGAGGGTAGTTTTATGAATTTAAATTACGTGTTAATTTAATTAATAAATAAAATTAACTTAATTTTATAAATAAAAACTCACTGATTGGTTTCATAGTCAATCAGTTTTACGATAACATTAAAAGGATGAAATCGTGGAGGGTAGTTTTACGAATTTAAATTACATCTATTTCAAAGAAAAATACGTATCCTTTATTTTTTACCATTCTACGAATCTTTAAAGTTTAAAAACAATTATATTAAATAAGGGTCCTTCACGAATGTTTCTTAATGATTTGACGAAACACCCCACAGCTGCCACAATGGAGATTTTTATGAGATTGAATTATTCAGTACAAAAGTAGTAAAAGTCTGAGATCACAGCAGTCAAACTAAAGACCTTCTACTACTTAATTTAAAAACAAATCTGGTATTACCTATCTAAATGATTTATAACATACCACCCCTTCGACGTAGTTTTCTACGTCGTCATTCAATCTCCAAATTCATCCCTCTAAAATCTTCAATGGAACCGGCTGCAGGGTCCCCCATACAAGTCCAACAACAGTAATAACAACAAAACGGAAAACGATAATTGAAACATCGCAGTGATCGCTGATACCAACGTACAAGTTGTAACGATAAGGGTTGTCGTAGATTAGCCGCTTCGCTTGTAGCCACGAGAGTCTGCGTACACGCATTTAAAACTTATACATAATTTTTTTTTCTTTTGTTTTTATTATCAAAATCGTATTTTTGTACCGTATCGATCCGCCCACTCTTCATGTGCTCGAAAGCATGGCATGCGAGTTCAACGAGTTTTTCGATTCGTGGCGAATGTACCGAAAGTGAATACCGTGCGATGAATCGTCCGCGATCGACGACAGGTCGACCAGACGTGTGAGCGATTTATGTTAGTCGAGGAAATTGCTGAAAATTAGGGAAAACCAGGGATGGGGACACAGGGTGGATGCGAGGGCCATTCGGTGCAAAGTGATCCAGCTGTCATTGGAATCTAAAATACTTGCTTTGTTTCTGGTGGTACGAGAAAATATCCAGAGGAAAATATTATAATTTTTTCAAAATAGTTAAGTGGGCATAAATGTTATGATACAAGAACATTCTTTTGCCTTTGCTGAATAATGATTTATGAGTATTACATGTGGTACATAATGTTTTTGTAAGAAAATTGAGAAAATACTAAGTGGAAACAAATTGTCTCCAAAGTAGATAAATACTATGATACGTAAACATTCTTTTGTCTTTATTGAATAATAATTAATAAGTACTAAATATGGTACATAATCATCTTCTAATCTAATTTAGAAAACCTTGAATAGTAACGAATTGTTTCAAAATAATAATAATAATAATAGTAATATTCATTACCTATGGCATGTAATCATCTTCAAAGAAGATTTAAGAAATAGTTAAATGTTACGATAGAACATTTTTTTCCTCTTTATATGATAACTAGCTTTTAATATCTTATATGGACTCATCTGCTTAACAAAATGTGTAAGAAATAGGTTAAGTACTCAGCCATCTAGTATTATCTAATGGTTATGATTTCAAGAAAGATGGAAACAAGAATTTCACTTGAATTCTATTTATCCACGTGAAATCTCGAATAACGCATTTCACTTTATACGAAAATGCACCGCACGCTGTATGATGAATTTAATTGCATTAGCCGTATGAGCATGCTCGTTAATGATCTCAACGCCTTTCCTGGCCTTTTCTTGCGACTCATTCCTCATATTTAAACATTCTTCACTTCGAGCTCCATATTAATGAATGGGCACAACTACTATTTCAAACTTAGCACTGACATTTTGAATATACCTTACTTATGCATATATGTTCTTTACTCATTTCCTGCTATTTCATTCGCATAATTCTACTTTCCTTCGGTGAAACATTGCTTTTGTTCGAATGGTAAATGAATATTTTATATGATGTGTGCCCCGAAATAATGAAATAAATCAAAATACACAAATTCTTCACGAAAAAAGAAATCGAAAAGTTCTTTAACATTTTGCAGATTGAAACTTCTTTTTCGAGACATTCGCGATAAAAGTTTTGGCATTTCACTGACGTGGTACGTACAGTCGCTAGCTCCAAAATACGATTTCAGAAACTTTACCTGCTTATACTTTAAAAATCAATATTTGGATGGTAAAATTGCAAGAGACATTTTACTTCCTTTTTTTGCAAAGAATTTTTATCTGTCAGTGAAAATATCTTTCCATTAAATACCTAATATTTCTTTCACCCAAAAACATGTACACAATTACATTTCTGTATTAAAAATTACATAAATATTCCTTTCGCCGAGAAACTGTGTCCCATTCATATTTCTGTATAAGAAATGATATGATATTGCATTCCAGTTGCATTATACATTATTCTACATTTTTCTCATAAGTTGAATTATAACATCACAAGTTCGAGATCCTCCAAATTTAATCTAAAAACCAATTAAATACATTGAATTGTTATATACTCGTGTGAAAATAATGTCAACAATCTAGGAATTTCTATTATTGCGATAATAACGAAAGAAATTTTCTTTGTGTTGTTAATTGTCCTTTCGTATTGAGTTTGTCCTTCCTCGGATATTTTCTCAGACCACCTCGAACATCAATGATGTCTCAGATTCGAATTGCAGCTCACTCGTACTGCGTACACTAACTGTCTATCTGTAGGCGACACTTGGCACTATTTTTCGCGTAATCGTTACATGGAAATTTTATTATATCCAGATTCATCGACGCCATCGATGTAGCCAGGCCTAGGGACATGACCAGGAATCACGTAGTCAGCACAGAATTTTCCGGAAAATTTTTGCCGCCAGAGATCTACAGGTAAAGAAAATGTAGATTTATCCTTAGAATGGACTGAGTTCAAGGTTACTAATTCGAATAATTAAATCATAATGTAAAAATTTGAATTCCTAAATTGTTACATCCATCTTTTGAAACGAAATGATCATTAATGACCTTGGATGACCTTGATCTGTGCTTTATTGAAATTCATCTTACAAGATTCTATTATAAACCGAAGAATGATTGACCTTAAAGTGTTCTTTGGTCTTTATATCTCCAACCAAAAGAATAGTCTTAGCACCTCGTAAAAATAGAATACAATTTACAAAATCCACTATAATAACTTGGTAAATGTTAATACATATATCTATATTACAAAGTATCAATCACACTTGTATTACCACTGTTATTTTTATTCATTTAAAAGAAGTATAGAGTAAAAATACAAATGTTCTTGAACGAGATAACACTTCTCTGTAAAAACGTATCATTCTTCCCCTTTCAAGTGAATGGGTAAGAAATATATTTATGTGTCCCATTCCCGTTGATTGGGCTTGCATCAGCAAAGCAATACCGTTGAAAGCAGGAAAAATTCGAATCCATCGTGTGCGATAGTCATCGCATACATTAATATTATACAGAATGGATCACTAGAAACGAAACATCAAAATATTTCAGATCGAGACAAAGGAAAATGTCAAATTGGAATGATGTATTGTTTAAAGAAGGATTATATAACGACACAAACAAATCTGTTTCAAGTTTTCTTCAAGGTCATTTAATGACTGTTAGCAACACTATCAATCTCAATTTATCAAAGTAAATGGCTTGCAAATTGTCTGCAGAAAAACAATTCGGTCCATAGAGGGTTAATTTATCTAAACACGTCTAATACAAGTACCCAGACACGTTCCAGCCAATTTCCCCAAATTCTCGTCCCTCCCCAAAAATGTTTCCTCGAATTGGTTTCCTTGATTTAACGAAAGAAATCACGTTCTCGTCGCAGGATCCCAGACGACGGCCCCGCCAGGACGGAAATCGCCGAGATGGAGACAGTTCTGTGATCGTAGAAAGCCGGCGCCGATTGCCTAGCCCCATCAGCTGAAAGGGAAGCGCGACCGTAAAGGGTTCCCCAGGAGCAGATTCGGATCGCTTCCCCATTTTGGACAACGAGTTTCTTGCCTCGTGGCCTCCCCGAGGCTCCCTTCGGAACGGAGCATCCGTAATAGAAGTGTTCGTTTGCCAACCGAAGCTTAACGAGCCCCGCGAGGACGGTCGAGACAGAACCAAATTTTCGCGCACTAAGAAGACATAGGAAAACGTTTCAGTGCCTATGAAGAGAATCAGGAAAACCGAGTTCCGATCGTTTTCCACTCGCCGAGGGCTCACTCGTGCTATCGAGCCTCCATTGGACGAAGATTTGATCGAGGACCTTTTAGCGAAATGGCGTGTGAGCACACGCGAGAGCGTCATTGATCTTTGTGTGCTACATTTGGTACGGAACTTATAAACTTACACTTCTGGACGGAGGCCGCCATCTTTGAGAATGGGCCACGCGCGCCACCTCAGTGGCGATTGAGTATTGAGATTCTGGATTCGAAAGTATGCTTATTTTTTATCTCATTCGTGAGGTAATAGTAGATTTCCTGGTGAATAATGTGAAATATAAAGAGTGGAGTCAGTTAAACAAATATCTATGGCGAAAGTACTTAAGGGTGAAATATATTAGGGATGACCATATGACAAGCATCGAGCTGGTTTTGATATTTAGTCTACCGATGGAAGAATAATTCCATCGTGTTTTTCCATCGGGTAATACACTAATTTATATAAATAAATGTCAATTTTAATAATGAAATCATTTCTTTAAAATGTAGTAGTGGTTAAGTCGCCACACAGACCGTGCACGTGGCTGTTTCTTAAAGATGACAGCCTCTACGTTCATACAGAGGCAAGGCTATTATCGACAAATACAGTTAGCGTATTAATTAAATTTTCTACTGGTAAATACAAGCTTTTGTGAAAAATAATAATTGAATGCAGGAATGCAATGCATCCAAAATATATGATACTGTTAATTTAATTTAAATTAACAGTATCATATACTGATTATTACTTCCTTCACAGTTTATTTCAATTCCTATTTCTATCGCATTAAATCATGATTTTTAACAAAAATTGATATCAATCCAAAGCTTAATCAATACTTATTATATTTCTATCCATCAAGATCCTGGAATATATATTTCAAAAGGATGCTAACAGTCTCGACGCAGATCCTTGCTCAACTATTAGCCAATGACCAATTTTTAGCCCTCTGTCAAACCTCTGCCAATTCTCTCACGATGGAAAGCCGATAGCACGAGTGAGTCCTAACGCGTGCTCAATCTCGTAATTACAGTGTTAGCAGGCCGTCTGTTTCTAGACATTATCGTTCCTTCGAGAAAAATAAAAAGATAAACAAAGAAGTTGTGTCGGTTCGCATCGTGATCTCGTCCAGAAACCTCTTTGGACGCCCCATGACACTTTTTACAGTCTGTGGTGTTTATCGTATCGTCCAACGAGACGCATCGATCAATCGAACGAGCGTAGCTGCACGTTACACGCGGTACAAGTTTATATTTTACACGAGAAAACGCAGAGAATCAGACTGACCCCGACGGAGCCTGATCGAGAACAATTTTAAACATCAAAACGAGAAGCGTGTACTTCAGGGATTTACGCTGAAACTAAACGTCTACGCCCACGTTTCGCTCGTAAACAACGGAGAGGATTCACCGATATTGTAATAAATTGCGTTTACGATTATTGGAGCGAATTGTGTTTGTATCGTTCGATGATTCTTCGTTACTTTCGATTTTCCTAGAAATCGAACGACACGCGTCGCGTGATTCGAAGGTGATCAAACGCGAGTTCAAAGACTTTGTGCTGTTAAGAGGATTGTTTCGACAGAGTAGATGGGAAGAATTGCAACAGCTGGAACCAATGTAAAACCGACGAATAAAAAAGAAAAGGGAGAGAAATGAAGTAAGTTTATTCAAGCAGCAACAATGCAATAGATAGTTTATTGAAATTCCTAAATCTTTTGAAAACTCATTGAAAAACTTTGTACGAAACTTCGACCCGTTTTCAAAAAGAAAGAAAAATAATAATAGGGGACGAACTTCGAGCCGACGAGCGTCGAAACGAATGCTGAGGCGAACAAAAACTAGGAGAAAATAAATCGTTGGGTAAATGCCAATCGATATCTTGATTGGGAATGTCAATGTTTATCATACGAGATAACTATGGCATTTGAGTATATCATATATATATTTAATACGTAATGTACACACGAGCTACCGTTACACGTTAAGTATGTATATTGTGGTAAACGATGAAATATTCTAAAAGAAACCTACTTCCAGGACGTAATATGCTCAACAAAAGTACATGTATATTAAATTCACCGGGTGTAACAATTAAATAAATATGTGGAGTGGCAGGCGTCGCGTGACAAATTTTAAAAGGGAATGCGCTGGAAGTGGTCCGATGATAGTTATCGTTCTAAATGCAGTTGATGTTTTAGGTGTCAGACAAAATGTTGTTGTTTTGAAGTTGCAGAAAGAAAAGAAGGAAGGATAATAGTATTATATATTATTACTATTAATTTATAATTCATGAACTAATTAAGATCGACTGAATAGATCACCTATCTAAATAAAAATGTCGAGTACAGAACAGTAGGTACACAACGAAACAATAAATAAATAAAGATGTATTTAAATTATAAAATGAAATAAAATTTGAATTATGAAATTAAATATTTAAAACATAAACGAGTAGAAGTTTGTTATAAAATTTATGAGAATTGCTCTCTTTGTTCTTGAAGAATAATTCGCATTTTTCGAAGAACATCGATTGAATTGTAAGAAAATTAAAAAGAAAGTTTAAAATCATTCGCGTTTAGTCATCCCAGGATCAAAATAAATTTTATTCTCGCTGCTATTACCTTCGAAAAAGAGCCATAATCGTCATACGACCAGTCCGTATTTGAAACTTATTTCAACGAAACGGTGGAAGGATAGGGACAAATCGAAACAAACTGTTTTACAATACGCAACGGTGCCTGAGGCAGTAAATTTCTGCGTGTAATCTGTACATTAATATTTTTTAGATAAAAGAAAATAAAAAGGAAGCGTCGATTTCACGACCACGCCGATTCGACGGCCTGGCGCTCCACAGGTTTTTGCAAACGAAATTTATCTTCGTAAAGAGTAGATAGAGATGGAAGTCCTTTTGAAACGCCGCCCCCCCCCCTCCCCCGCGCCAAGAAAACCAAGAATTTTGTGTGTGTAGGAATCGACAGAGATAGGATTAATGTTCTAAAACTACGTCTGCTGTACATATACCGCATTGTATCGTATAAGCCACAAAGTGTGCCGCGGAGAACACGATTCTTCTTTGCGCCATTTTCATTATCGGTTCGACAATTAGCAGTAAAAAAAAAACACCGCGGCGATCCTGGTAGTTATTTGACTCTTTGCTGATGGCTATCTTTGAAGGATGAAGATTAAAACGGTTAAAACCATTTTGGAGCAACTGACAGTCTTTTATTTTACAGCGATCGAATGAAACACATTTTCAATTGGGTGGGGAAATAAAAAAATGAGTTTTCAAATTCCTTTTAAGAGTAAAATTTGATTTATTCGATTTGAATTGTCGATTTTTAGTTAGGCATACTTAAAGTGTTGGAGTGTTTTATATCGTATGTTACATATTGTATTTATAATACTCTTACATATTTTATTTGTTTTGTTTTATGTTTCATTTGTACCAACTATAAAATTAAACAAATTATATTAACAGTATTTAAATTGAAATCAAAGGAAACAGTGACAAATCCTGACACGCGTCTAAAATGGTGAAAGTGTGTTGTCCAGTATATCGTTGTCATCCGTCTGCAAAGGGTTAACTCGATTAATCAGTTTGTAAAGTAAACGAGATCAGAACTCGTGGCCATATGGAGCCTGTATCGTTGGATGTTTACTTTTGCTTCCAATTTCTTTCATTTGTTATTTATAATTCAACAATGATCAAATATTTGCTTCCCAGAGTTTTACTTTTGTGACTTACATCGCGCACAAGATATTCCGCTGAAAAAGCACTAGTTTCGACTCTTCGTATCGACACTTTGCATGGCAGAATCTGAATGGAAATCAAAACAATATTCAAAGATACGTTTTTATTGTTGAATAAAAATTAGAATTTAATGGTGAATACGTTTAATGTTTTAAATAGTAGAATTTATCACTTTGGGAATGTACGTTATAAAATTTATGATTTAAAAGGTCTTGAATTAATATTGCGTGGATGCAATATATAACTTTGTGATGGGACTAATTATTTTACTTACGTAATATAAAACTATTTAAGGTGATAAATATATATGTATCAGCCTCTCAAAACAGAAGAATTTTTAATTTAATTAATCAAAAGGTTCAACTTCTCTGAAAGAAGAAACAGGTTAACATAAATTTAAAAAATCAGATATTTTATTCATAATTTATCATGTTTTCCTAACTTAGATACTGAGAATAGTGATAAATTCGACCACCTAAAATATGAAATATATTAAATATGTTTTAATTAAACAATTAAGAGGTTCAACTTTCCTAAAAGTGGAAACAAGTTAACACAAATTCTAAACAGTCAAACGTTTTACTTCTAATTCGTAATTTTTCTGTAGCTTAAATTTTGAGGATATTTTTGATTGCACACGTGATTGCAAAGGAAGGAGTCGTTGCGAGGAAAAGAGTCAAGAGCTGGACACAGCACAATTCAAATAATGATAAGTTGCTATCGGAGAACATGTTGTTACTGTTGTTGTTAAAGATAATGGAAGTGTTACATTGTTAAGTCGCGAGAGAGAGAGAGAGAGAGAGAGAGAGAGAGATGTAGCGAGAACGAGAATATTAGTTACTTCCCAGAAGAAACAAAGAAGAAAAAAAAGTGATTAGACGTACCGACTACGTCGCAACTAATATCTTTACCTACTACTGTTAAGTACCTAAGTCGTCGCAAAGCTTTCGCCCCCGTTTCACAATCGACAGAGACGATACGCTATTTCCATCCGGCACAAGATGATTTTTCTCTTTCCATCGTGTGCGCACTCGCGACTAAATCGTTAACCGTTAAGACTATCGTTAGAATTCTATGAAACCGTTAGAACGTAAACTCGATGGTGGTTCTGGACAATAGATCTATCCGAGTGGGTGTCAATCTGATCCGAGAATTCGTAATTATACAACTAACACACGAAGGGGAGGGTTAAAAATTCTACTTGAATCTTTCAGACCTGAATTTCATATCTAACGAATCAATAATTTTCTTTTAAACAGTTTTGAATCAATCGTACATATACTGTTTAAAATTAATTAAAGAAGATTACTCCGCTGTTTCATAAGTATACATGTATACTTCATACAGCACATACGTACCAACAATATTTATTGTATATCATAAAATTATTGAAGACTGTGTGATGTGAAATGAAGAGTCATTACTCAAGTGGTGTTTATTTGTCTAACACTTATTTCTTATTATTATTGATAATGAAAACTTAATTGAAAAAAAGGACTCTTTAAAATCGTCCTTAATCCATTTCTTGAAACAATCGCACATACACTTCTAATTAAGTAGAGAAACTTCATTTTAATAAGATGAGTATTTCCAGCATGACCAATCGAATTTGCGTTGACCCCAGTCGGAAATACCTAAACCAAAAATCGTGCGCACACACGAAATAGCGGCCTTAATGATTTTTAAACGGATTACTCTTGAGCGTAAAACTAGTCGTCCCGATAGGAACCATCGGTTTCCTCCCGTCATTTTCATCTCGAAACCACTTCATTCGTTCATTTATTTGACGCCAAGACTCTTCCGATTAGATGGCATTCATTTACATTTGAAATATTTATAAAACATTTATACATTGTATTATATTACATTAGTTTTATAATATTATTATAATTATATACTTATTATTATAATAATACTTATAATATACTTATATATTATATAC